CACACTGAACATTATATACACAGACACTGGTATAATACAACATACAACAGTACCTTGAGTTCTCCCTTAATACTATCAGTACACACACTTAACATTATATACACAGACACTGGTATAATACAACATACAAATTACCCCTTCAGAGTGTTTACTGTGACACTACCCAATAGAAAACTTAGATACTCCCTTAGTGCGGTGAGTGTGAATGTTATGCAGCGGTAATAAGAGTCACAAGAGATTATAGGGACCTGTACTAATGTATGCAGTACACAGTATTTACATAAAACTCTATATTCATGTCCACAAAATTAATGCTATTCTTGTAGCAACCATTTTTTTAAATACCATTGTTAGATAAACACATGCCAGTGCTATCAGGAAAAGTTGTATATAAGAACAGCAAATATCTAAATACAGTACTGTATGTTAATTTAACCAAGTCTTCTACTTAACATGATCAAAAAACAAATTTTAACCCAGAGTTTGGCATTTCAGCATTGGCTACTTTAAGCAAATGACTGCCCAAGGATGAATTGATATATAACCAAGAAGAGTTACCTAACTAAGGCACAAGATGCTAACTGAACAATATATTAAACATGATATTATATACAGTTAAGAGGTGTTAAAGTTCATCTGCCCCATAACACCAGCTACTATATATGAACCCTAACCATTATTTACCAGACAATGGTACCATATATCTGTAAGTGATGAAAGAATATATTTACAACATGAATCAAAACTACCAACCATTTTAGTCAAGATAAAATATCAAAATATCTCGTAAGAGTTGAGCAAAACTTATCAAATATTTACGTACAATTTCAACAGAGATTGAAGAGTTTCCGTGAGATAATGACAACACCTTGACTATAACAAATGGTCTACCACCACTGTACTACTTTACCAAGATGATTTACTACCTGCGTTAATGTACGTACTTGTGATAAAACTTACGTCGCGTGTAAATAAAGACAGACGTACACAGTTTACACAACTATTGATGCACAAATTATAGTAAATGAGAGTTCATCTCTGTTCAACACAACTTATCTAGTAAAGATGAAATTTTGAGCCCATAGATGATAAGTTTAACCTTTGTTCACTACTCTACTGTAAATAACATTATTAAAAAGGCTGATGAAACAAAATGGAGTATTATTATGAGTGATATTTAACCAACACCAAATGTCTACACTAAGGCCATGGTAGAAGTAATTTACATCTTAAGAGTAGATAACTTGTGTTTAATATCTATAAAAGTGGCATTTGTCACTTGTCTTTATTTCTGCTACATTCATAGAGTTTGTTCAAGTGGTTTTATATTGATGTATATCACTGTATTCAAGTTTGTGTGTCACATTTACCTTCTGCTAAAGTCATTCAAACATTTATTGAATTCTGTTTTTTTCATGCACAAGTTTATGACGTTTGAGACGACCGCTGCGGGAGAAACATTTCCCACATTCCTCACATCCAAACTCCTTTATACCATTGTGTAGTACAAGAATGTGTTTCTTGAGATTACCCTTTAGTGCAAAATGTTTCCCACATTCCTCACATTCAAACTTCTTTATACCACTGTGTCCAAGAATGTGTGTCTCGAGAGTCCTCTTCTGGGTGAAACATTTCCCACATTCATCACATTCAAATTCCTTCACACCATTGTGTTCAAGAATGTGTGTCTTGAGAGTACTCTTATGGGAGAAACATTTCTCACATTCCTCACATTCAAACTCCTTTACACCATTGTGTACAAGAATGTGTGTCTTGAGAGTATTCTTATGGGAGAAACATTTCCCACATTCCTCACATTCAAACTCCTTCACACCATTGTGTACAAGAATGTGCCTCTTGAGAGTACTCTTATGGAAGAAACATTTCCCACATTCCTCACATTCAAACTCCTTCACACCATTGTGTACAAGAATGTGTGCCTTGAGATGACCCTTCTGGAAGAAACATTTCCCACATTCCTCACATTCAAACTCCTTCACACCATTGTGTGCAAGAATGTGTGTCTTGAGAGTACTCTTCCGGGAGAAACATCTTCCACATTCCTCACATTCAAACTCCTTCACACCGTTGTGTACAAGTAAATGTTTCTGAAGAGTAGACTTGAAGCCAAACTGTTTGCCACATTCCTCACAGGAGAACTTTTTATCTCTGCTTGACATTGTGAACTTCTACTTAGTTACACTTGGTCTTGAGACGTGACATCACAGTATCTGAAACAAAGTAAAGAAGGATGTACTATAATGGCTATTATAGTGTGACCCTCATCCACACAGACACAGTTTGGTTGTGTGAGTAAAGAATGATGTACTATAATGGGTTATTATAGTGTGACTCCACATCCACACAGAGACACAGTTTGGCTGTGTGAGTAAAGAAGGATGTACTATAATGGGATATTATAGTGTGACCCACATCCACACAGACACAGTTTGGCTGTGTGAGTAAAGAAGGATGTACTATAATGGGTTATTATAGTGTGACCCACATCCACACAGACACAGTTTGGCTGTGTGAGGAAAGAAGGATGTACTATAATGGGTTATTATAGTGTGACCCACATCCACACAGACACAGTTTGGCTGTGTGAGTAAAGAAGGATGTACTATAATGGGTTATTATAGTGGGACCCACAGCCACACAGACACAGTTTGGCTGTGTGAGTAAAGAAGGATGTACTATAACAGGTTATTATAGTGTGACCCACATCCACACAGACACAGTTTGGCTGTGTGAGTAAAGAAGGGTGTACTATAATGGGTTATTATAGTGTGACCCACATCCACACAGACACAGTTTGGCTGTGTGAGTAAAGAAGGATGTACTATAACTGGTTATTTTAGTGTGACCCACATCCACACAGACACAGTTTGGCTGTGTGAGTAAAGAAGTAAAGAAGGATGTACTATAATGGGTTATTATAGTGTGACCCACATCCACACAGACACAGTTTGGCTGTGTGAATAAAGAAGGATGTACTATAATGGGTTATTATAGTGTGCCCCACATCCACACAGACACAGTTTGGCTGTGTGAGTAAAGAAGGATGTACTATAATGGGTTATTACAGTGTAACCGATGTGCCTCCAACTCGGCCCATCAAATACCAACTCGGACCATCTCGGATAACCAACCTTTAACTCAAACATTCTAATGTCTGTTTATATCATCGACATAACATAAAACATTTATTACGTTTACCACAAGGGAGGGAGGAAGGCCCACAAATTAACATTTACTCACAAAATTAACAACAATAAACAAGACGGCCACCTTGGTTGATGTTGACTTGCTACACCTTGTCCGATTCTCTCTCTTATCTTTCAGTAGCTACAAGTTTTCATTATTAACACTATAATAAAAGTATTTTATTAATAAATATTACATAATACAAATAAATTATACTTTCATTATAATGTTTTATTATTGATTAAATTCCCGCTAATAGATATATATTAATATTAAACTAAACTTAAGACAATGGCTGGAGAACCGAATAGCTTGACAACATTTACAACTTTACTAAAATAAATTTAAACAATAGCATTTTGTGTTGAACTATTTTAAGTTTATTTATTAATATTTTATTAATATATAACACTACAGTATATAGATTCAGTTAACGAACGACTCCGTGGAACCAATTGTGTCGGTTAATGGAGGGACCATTGAAGATATTTTAGCGACCCTCCCTGGTGACAACCTTAACCTGACGTGGGTCAACACTCCATTATCCACCTATATGAACCTTTATTAATGTGGAACAAGTCCATTATAAGAACAATTCACTGAACAATACTCACGGCAGTAGGTATGACCTGTAATATTAGATCACTAACTTGAACTATCATCATTATTGTTGTTGAATGTTCCTAGAAGTACAATAATTATTTACCTATTATACAGTACAGCATTAATTTATGCCAAGATTGATGCCAAAAAAACTATATTTAAGTATAACTTAACCCAAATAAAATACCCCATTTGTTTGAAAGTTTCCTGGCTTTTCCATGCAGTCGATACCCCAATACAGTCAGTTCTGCTATAACGCGTTAGTTGCATTCTTGTTAAACATCGTGTTATAGAAAATTGCGAAATAGAAATAACAGGGCTTATGGAGAAAATAGGGTTAGGTGCAGATTACTCGAAATCGAAAAAAATTTAGTAGTTAGCCTAACACAAAGGATAGCACAGTCTAATTAAATGTTACCTTCATATCTAATAATGAAATCATACAGTAAATGTTACACTTTACCTTGAAAAAATCTGAATATAACTTGATGGGCGATAAGGGTGATTTTGAGGTTGATAACATCGAGCTTCTCTTCAAGTGTTATAGCCTTTCTTTTACGATCATCACCAGGAATGCGATCACCAGAACGCTTCTTGGAGATATTCTTCTTTACCATATTCACAGTTAATACCACAAAATTGGAGAAATAGTAAGCAAAAATCGCGTTAGAGCAAACAAGTGTTCGCGTAATACAAATATGGTTCTTTTATTCATAAATCGCGTTAGAGCCAATTCGAGTTGTCAAAACACTCGTTACAGCAGAACTCACTGTAGTCCATATTATTTTTAAAACGTATATGAAGGCCTTTTAAAATATACGGGCAAAGCCTAAGTAATCTACTTTAAATATCTAATTGTTTCAAAAAGTCATTAACACAATAACTAATTTGTGAACCTAGATATAAAATCAGGTAAAGTAGTACCCTGTACCTTTGTAGGATATTTAAACTATTTTTCTACCCCCAAGTGCTGAAGACAAAGGTATTAGGTCAGGCATATTTGACAAATATTTTTACGTGAAACTAACTTCATCCAGTAAAGATGGTCAACATATTTAAGACCATCCATAAAGGCTTTTAAAACTTACGGGCACAGCGTAATCTACTTAAAATATCTAATTATTTCAAAGGTCTTTAACACAATTACTTGAATTTTTAAACGGTGATCCCAGATCCTTAATAAAAACTAAAACCACAAAGATATACACTGTACTGTACCTTATGTTATAGCAGAGAGCTTCCAATGTGGCGCAGCAAGAGACCCGTTAACCAAAACAAACCTTCGTCTTGTGGCCCATATCTTACATGTTCACGTCACCGTCCTAGAATGAATAACATTTTGACAACTAATAATTTAAATACTCTGGGCAGTAATATTATATAATATGTATACAGTAGTGTACAGTATTATATTATACAGGAACTCATTAAATCTTCAAACATTTAAATACAATATTATGGTTAAATTAAGAAATTCCATAAAACTTTTTAAAGAGAATAATGAAACACTTTAGAAAATCTTACCTCGACGAATGACATGAGGAACTTAATTAACCACGATCAGCGAGGCAGCAATATGGTAGTTGTCTTAACACTACAGTAACAACCAATTGCAGCAGTAAACTGTAAACAAAATAACACTGTTACTCTTTTTGTAGAAACTCAGATAATTTTTTGTTCCAACATGTTGGAGACGAAACAACCTTGTAAAAGATTGCCAACACGGTTTTATGCCGGGGCGCTCGTGCTTAACACAATTGCTCAAGGTACTGGATATTTGGCCCCATATTCTGGAACAGGTGGTAATATCGACAATATTTACCTAGATTTTGCCAAGGCTTTCGACAGTGTACTCCAGGAAAGACTGAAAATCAAACTGGAAGGGTACAGAATTCGAGGAAATGTCCTAGCGTGGATAGAAGACTTTCTACATGACCGCAAGCAGTGTGTGGTGATTACTGGTACAAAATCGTCATCCGTACCCGTCACAAGCGGGGTACCACAGGGCAGTGTATTGGGCCCGCTGTTGTTTGTTTGTTTCATAATGACATGCCTGACGTTGTACACTCCTCCATACAAATGTTTGTCGATGACGCCAAGTTATTTCGGGAAATCAGGAACCAAGCAGACTGTGAAGAGCTGCACAAGGACCACAAGTTAACTCTGGTCAACAACTTTCTTAATACCACTTACTAGTCACTAATGGATAACACCTGGTAAATTCACAAGTTATATCCCACTGCCATAAGGGTTTACTAATCTATAAATGCCGACATTGTGAAGCGTCTTGCGATTTTTCCTTTCCCAGAGAATTAAAATACCATCGAAGACATGATTTGGTTAGGTTAGGTTTGAATACCACCAAATTGTTATTTTCCCCGAGAATTAAAACCTCACCATCGGACACACGATTTGGCTAGGTTAGGATCCCACCAAACACAGTGACAAAAATGTAAATTTCTTGTCAAAAAATAAACTGCAACTTTATAGTAAAGTTCCCAAAATGTCTCAAAAGCTAATATTTTACTACAAACTGTAATTTAACCACAAATAAAAAGTACCACATTCTTATAACCAAATTTTTTTACTTCAATTAAAGAAAAAAATCTTTCCCAAAATAAATATGACCCAAAATCCCACCTTGGTTAATATATAGGACTAACCCGCCATAGTGCCGATGCTGCTGTATCATCTCACGTCCAGAAAATGTCTCAAATATCACCGTATAGTAAGTTTTTTCTGTTTAATATACCGGAGAAGTTAGGTGAGGTAGGTTTGTTTGGTTAGGTCTGTCCTTCATAACCACAAATGTTAAGTAGCGTTTATTTAAAAAACATCCATTTACTAACATTACCACAAACAGTGTCCACTATAATATAACAAAAGTAACTTGACAAAATTATCATAAAATTATCCTAAAAGTAATAAACTACAGAAAAGTAACAATTCCCAAACGTAAAGTGATGTAAACACCACAAGTAACAAAACTTATCAAACGTAAAAGTAACAAACTCCACAAGTAACAAAACTTATCAAACGTAAAAGTAACAAATACTCAACAGGAAAGTAATAAAATACCTCAAACTATCAACCTATTTCCTTAACATTGTTCCATTGACAATTTCCTCCAGTAGTTTACATTAATAAGCAGCAGCAGTTATTGGTCCACTTGCCTTCACCGTCTACCTGTTAATTAATACCTACACCACACTCCTGCACCATAAACACACTATATACCTGCACCGTATACCTACACCACACACCTGCACCATAAACACACTATATACCTGCACCACAAACACACACTATACCTGCACCATATACCTACACCACACACCTGCACCATAAACACACTATATACCTGCACCAATAACACACACTATACCTGCACCATATACCTACACCACACACCTGCACCATAAACTCACTATATACCTGCACCAATAACACACACTATACCTGCACCATATACCTATACCACACACCTGCACCATAAACACACTATATACCTGCACCACAAACACACACACACTATACCTGTACCATATACCTATACCACACACCTGCACCATAAACACATTACACACCTGCACCACAAACACACTATATACCTGCACCAATAACACACACTATACCTGCTCCATATACCTACACCACACACCTGCACCTTAAACACACTATATACCTGCACCACAAACACACACTATACCTGCACCATATACCTACACCACACACCTGCACCACAAACATACAATATACCTGCACCATATACCTACACCACACACCTGCACCACAAACATACAATATACCTGCACCATATACCTACACCACACACCTGCACCATAAACACACTATATGCCTGCACCATATACCTACACCACACACCTGCACCACAAACACACAATATACCTGCACCATATACCTACACCACACACCTGCACCATAAACACACTATATATCTGCACCATATGCCTACACCGCACCTACTGTAGTTAGTCCCAGATGGGCCTAGTTGGGCCCAGATGGGCCTAGTTGGTCCCAGATGGGCCTAGTTGGTCCCAGATGGGCCTAGTTGGTCCCAGATGGGCCTAGTTGGTCCCAGATGGACCTAGTTGGTCCCAGATGGGCCTAGTTGGGCCCAGATGGACCTAGTTGGTCCCAGATGGGCCTAGTTGGTCCCAGATGGGCCTAGTTGGTCCCAGATGGACCTAGTTGGTCCCAGATGGGCCTAGTTAGTCCCAGATGGGCCTAGTTGGTCCCAGATGGGCCTAGTTGGTCCCAGATGGGCCTAGTTGGTCCCAGATGGGCCTAGCTACAGTCCCAGGTGAATTCTGGATTGATTTGATGGGCCGGATTGGTCCCAGATGAATTTAGTTGGTCCCAGATGGGCCTAGTTGGTCCCAGATGGGCCTAGTTGGTCCCAGATGGACCTAGTTGGTCCCAGATGGGCCTAGTTGGTCCCAGATGGGCCTAGTTGGTCCCAGATGGACCTAGTTGGTCCCAGATGGACCTAGTTGGTCCCAGATGGGCCTAGTTGGTCCCAGATGGGCCTAGTTGGTCCCAGGTGGGCCTAGTTGGTCCCAGATGGGCCTAGTTGGTCCCAGATGGGCCTAGTTGGTCCCAGATGGACCTAGTTGGTCCCAGATGGGCCTAGTTGGTCCCAGATGGGCCTAGTTCAACCAGTGTGACCGACAACCACAGAGATGGCTGGATAGCTTCAACCATAGGTTGGATGTTTATATGAGCAATAGGGGCTGGGTGGACTGCCCAGTATGGCCCGCTGTAGTTTCCTCCATTCTTATGTTCTACTGTACTGTGTCTAGTTAACACGGCCATACATAATGTTAACTTACCACGAGGGAGGGAGGAAGGCCCACAAATTAACATTTACTAACAAAATTAACAACAATAAACAAGACGTCCACCTTGGTTGATGTTGACACGCTACACCTTGTCCGATTCTCTCTCTTATCTTTCAGTAACTACAAGTTTTCATTATTAACACTATAATAAAGTATTTTATTTATACATTTTACATAATATAAATAAATTATACATTACTTAATGTTCTATTATTGACTAAACTCCCGCTAATAGATATAAATTAATATTAAACTAAACTTAAGTCAATGGCTGGAGAACCGAATAACTTGACAACATTTACAAATACACTAAAATAAATTTAAACAATAACATTTATTATTTAACTATTTAAACAATAACATTTATTGTTTATCTATTTTAAGATTATTTATTAATATTTTATTAATATATAACACTATATATAAGCTTACGACACCATAATAAACTCGCTATTTTAACTATTCATAATATTATTAACGGTAACTATTAGTCTAAAACTACACAATTATTCAGCAACAATTATTAAACAACAATTACCTATAATATAAAACGTAAATAATGATCAACTACCAATTATATCATTATCAAGTCCATCTTGAATGATGAGTACCTCTCACTATCATGTCCTGTTGGCTTGAGACACACCTGAGAAGAGTGTTTGAGTACGTCTCACTATCATGTCCTGTTGGCCTGAGACACACCTGAGAAGGGTGTTTGAGTACGTCTCACTATCATGTCCTGTTGGCCTGAGACACACCTGAGAAGGGTGTTTGAGTACCTCTCACTATCATGTCCTGTTGGCCTGAGACACACCTGAGAAGGGTGTTTGAGTACCTCTCACTATCATGTCCTGTTGGCCTGAGACACACCTGAGAAGGGTGTTTGAGTACGTCTCACTATTATGTCCTGTTGGCCTGAGACACACTTGAGAAGGGTGTTTGAGTATCTTTCACTATTATGTCCTGTTGGCCTGAGACACACCTGAGAAGGGTGTTTGAGTACCTCTCACTATCATGTCCTGTTGGCCTGAGACACACCTGAGAAGGGTGTTTGAGTACCTCTCACTATTATGTCCTGTTGGCCTGAGACACACCTGAGAGGGCTGTTTGAGTACCTCTCAATATCATGTCCTGTTGGCCTGAGACACACCTGAGAAGGGTATTTGAGTACCTCTCACTATCATGTCCTGTTGGCCTGAGACACACACCTGAGAAAGGGTGTTTGAGAGTACCTCTCACTATCATGTCCTGTTAGTACAGACACACCTGAGGGTATTTAGTACCTCTCACTATCATGTCCTGTTGGCCTGAGACACACCTAGAGAAAGTGTTTGAGAGTACCTCTCACTATCATGTCCTGTTGGCCTGAGACACACCTGAGAGGGTTTGAGTACCTCTCACTATCATGTCTTGTTGGCCTGAAACACACCTAAGAAGAGTGTTTGAATACCTCTCACTATCATGTCCTGTTGGCCTGAGACACACCTGAGAAGAGTGTTTGAATACCTCTCACTATCATGTCCTGTTGGTCTGAGACACACCTGAGAAGAGTGTTTGAATACCTCTCACTATCATGTCCTGTTGGTCTGAGACACACCTGAGAAGAGTGTTTGAATACCTCTCACTATCGTGTCCTGTTGGCCTGAGACACACCTGAGAAGAGTGTTTGAATACCTCTCACTATCATGTCCTGTTGGTCTGAGACACACCTGAGAAGAGTGTTTGAATACCTCTCACTATCATGTCCTGTTGGCCTGAGACACACCTGAGAAGAGTGTTTCAGTACCTCTCACTATCATGTCCTGTTGTACACATGTTCCACAATATTGGGGTTGTAATAAAGTATTCAGCAATAGTTTAAATACTTATATCTCATTCTGTAAGATATTTATGTTTGGGGAACATCATGGCCAAGTGTATACAGTTATACTGCCCTTTAATTGGTCACTTAATACTAGGGTTTACTTCTTAACTTAGGGTCGCTGCCACCAGACCACAGGACAGTATGTGTAGTTGTTCTTTGGGGAGCTGGAAAAGAAGTCTAGCAGTGAGAGTTTAGTCTAGCAGTGTGAGTTTAGTCTAGCAGTGTGAGTTTAGTCTAGCAGTGTGAGTTTAGTCTAGCAGTGTGAGTTTAGTCTAGCAGTGTAAGTTTAGTCTGGCAGTGTAAGTTTAGTGTAGCAGTGTGAGTTTAGTCTAGCAGTGTAAGTTTAGTGTAGCAGTGTGAGTTTAGTCTAGCAGTGTAAGTTTAGTGTAGCAGTGTGAGTTTAGTCTAGCAGTGTGAGTTT